TGGGTGACCTCGGACAGGTTACTTCCCCTCCTTAAACTCAGTTTCCTTAAAGAGGGAAAGAGTGTTACCTACCTCACTGAATTCTCGTGAGGGTTAATTCAGATACTATAAGTAAAGCACTTGGTAAATGCTCAGCAAATGTGAGGCAGTGTTATATTTAAACATTAGCTTCATCCCCCTTCCCCCACCTTCTCAGGCAGACTTGCCACCTTCTCAGGCAGACGTGTGTAGTGTGCTTAAGTCCCTGGAACTCATCTGTGTGCTCACTGTCCTCTGTTCTGTTACCACGTTCTGTCCTGTTTGACAGGGGCATTAGGAGATTCCAGCCGGAGGTCGAACCTTCGCAGCCAGTGGCTCTGGAGGGCCTGAGTGACAGCGGCAGTCCTGTTCGTTTGAGGTTTAAAACAATTAAATTACAAAGCGGCAGCAGCCAATGCACGCCCCTGCATGCAGCCCTCCCGCCCGCCCTTCGTGTCTGTCTCTGCTGTACCGAGGTGTTTTTTACATTTAAGAAAAAAAAAAAAAGAAAAAAGATTGTTTTAAAAAAAAATGGAATCCGTACCATGATGCGTTTTAAAACCACCAATAGCCCTTGGGCTGGCAAGAAGGCAGGAGTTTGTGTGATGCCCATCCTGGCATGAGCAGTGGGCTCACCCACCAGCCCTGAAGAGGTGAGCTTGGCCTCTGGCCCCCATGGACTCAGGTGGACCAGGCAAGAATTCTGACAGAGCTTTGGGGGCCGTGATATGATTGCAGCTCCTGAGGTGGCCTGCTTACCCCAGGTCTAGGAATGGACTTCTTCAGAACTTGCACAGGCGCCTAGAATGAGGCTGATGAGAACATCGTGGCCATCAGGCCTATTGGGAAGAGAATGCATAGCTCCCAGCCTGCTGTGAAGGCAGCTGAGAAGCAGTGGCCTCAGGACTGAGGGCCCGGACATTGCTGTACTGTTTTATTTAGTGTAGAAGGAAAGAGAATTGGTGCTGCAGAAGTGTGTCCGTGATGAAGCTGATGAGAAACCTCGTGTTAGTCTGACATGCACTCACTTACTCATCCATTTCTATAGGATGCACAATGCACGTGGACCCTGATATTGAGGCCTGATCCCTGCAGCTAGGAAGGGGAAGGGGTTGCTGCTTTGCTTCGTGTTTGTTTTCTTATAACTTAGCAAGGAGCGAGCCAGGCCCTGGCCAGGGCTCCCCTTGCTGCCTTTGGCAGTTCTGTTTCTGTGCTGATCTGGACCATCTTTGTCTTGCCTTTTCATGGTGGTGGTCCCCATGCTGACCCTCATCTGGGCCTGGGCCCTCTGCCGAGTGCCCCTGTGGGATGGGAGGAGTGAGGCAGCGGGATAAGAGGTGGTGGTTGTTTCTATGCATTCAGGCTGCCTTCAGGGCTGCCTCCCTTCTTATTCAACCCTTGCTGCACGTCCATCTCTTTTCCTGTCTTTGAAATTGACCTGACTGCTCTGGTAAGAAGAGGTATCCTCCTTAAAGAAACCTCTTTACTGACCAACTGAAGTATAGGCTTACAGCTGGACAATCTGCATGGGCATCATCCCCCACCCTGCATGTCCCCAAAAGAGGTGTCCAGAGCCAAGGCTTCCACATTCATTGTCCCTCTCTGTGCTCAAGGAGTCCCATTCCAGGAGAGAAAGATCTATACCCTGACAGTTAGCAGAGAAGATAATGGAGGAGCAATTGGTCATGGCCTTGATTTCCCCCAAAACAACTCTGCAGGTTTATCTGCACAAGTATCTGCACTTTTGGGGGAAGAGGTGGGTAGATTCCAGCTCCCTAGACTACCTTCAGGAGGCACAAGAGCTGGGAGAAGAGGCAAAGCTACAGGTTTACTTTGGAGCCAGCTGAGAAGAGCATATACTCACAGGTGCTGGTGCTTGGATTTAGCCAGGCTCCTCTGAGCACCTCATGCATGTCCCAGTCCCTGGGCATGTGCCCATTCCCGTCCTGCAGCCTGCAGTGCCAGCACGCAGATCCCTTCACCACAGGATTTGGTTTTGCTGGCTTGAAGACAAATGGTCTTAGAGTTCATTGAGACCCATAGCTTCATATGGCTGCTCCAGCCCTACTTCTTAGCATTCTTACTCCTCTTCTGGGGCTAATGTCAGCATCTATAGACAATAGACTATTAAAATCACCTTTTAAACAGGAAATGGAAGGCATTTGATGCAGAATTTTTGCATGATGACATAGAAATAATTTAAAAATAATTAGTGTTTGTTCTGAATGTTGGTAGACCCTTCATAGCTTTGTTACAATGAAACCTTGAACTGAAGATATTTAATAAAATAACCTTTAAACAGTCCGTTGTGTTACTGCTGTTGGAGGCCAATGGCCAGAGGCTTATATTTTAGCAGGGATGGAGAGAGTTACCAAGGTTGGAGAGAGCGACTTCTCCCACTCCTCTTGAGCCCTTTTTAGAATACAACTTCCTCATAAACTCAACAGCCACTAACCCAACGGGCTGCTGAGACGAGTTTGGTGTGGGGCGGGAGGCCCTGGGCCCTGGGCCCTGGGCCCTGGACCCTTAAGGGATGGGCTAAGCGTCTGGCCCCGCCCCCGGGCCCCGCCCGCGCGGAG